AATGGGTATTCTAGGCGGCCATTTTTTCCCCTGCAAGCAAAACAACTAGCATCTCAAGAAGATAACTCAAAGTGTACATGTTCCCTGACATGCTACGTATATTTCTCAGTGCAGGGGTTTCAGTGCAAGGGGGGAAGAGGATCCCTGTATCCCTGCAAAAGAACAATGGCAAAAATGCATAGCTTTCCAAGGAGTTATTCTCTAAAATCAGTTTCGGTCTTTTCTTTTGAATTTTAAATCCCGAGGCTTAGAGCAAGATTTCCTCAATAATGCGTTCCCATGGGGAAAACGCTGACTGATCATCACTTAAATTGTCTCCTTTTTCCCCTCACTCTTCCAAAAAACAGGGGCATGTATCTATTTCTTTCCCTGTTTGTTTTATTCTCCTAAGGGGGTGGTTAGGATTCACACACTGCCTGGATTCACACACTCCATGCAAAGTAGTTCTGCTTCCAGTTCTGGCCACCACGATATGAAAAAGATGTTGAGACTTTAGAAAACGTGCAGAGAAGAGCAACAAAGATTATTAGGGGACCGGAGGCTAAAACATAAGAAGAACAGTTGCAAGAATTGGGTATGTTTAGTTTAATGACAAGAAGGACCAGGGGAGACACATTTAGCAATATTCCAATATTTGAGAGGCTCCTACAAAGACGAGGGGGGGGGGTCAAACTATTTCCCAAAGCACCAAAAGGCAAGACAAGAAACAATGGTTGGAAACTAACCAAGGAGAGAAGCAACCTAGAACTAAGGAGAAACTATTAGTTTATGTTCTATGTTCTAGAACTGCACCGCCATTCAACCCAATTCTCCTTTGAAAAAAAAATTCCTGGAGGAACCCATATTTCAACCAATGAATTGGAAGGAGCCAAAGCCAGCTTCTCTGCCCAGCACCAGCTATAATATGGGTGTCAAACAACTGAACAGTTTAAAGGTCACATTTATTAGCTGCTGCATATGACAAGCAATAAAAAAAAAAAGCACACCTGGTGTAAAAGCGAGCGGGGGAATGGCGGTGCTTCTTCCTCTTGCTGTTTGGTGAAGTTCTCACCGCCCTCTTCCAACCTTGTGCTGTTTCCACAAATCCTGGAAGGCTTTTTAACCCGGGACTCTTACATGCAACCGTGCAAACAGCCTATGAGACAGGTGAGAATGCATGCCCACCAGGATGCGAAGGAGAACTTGGGGTTCAGCTATCCAGCATTTGGCCTAGACAGCTAAGCTTCCCCCCCCCCCTCCAAGTCTATGAGTTGGTTCACACAACACTTTTCTCAGCCTTACCAGGTCGTCCAGACAGAAAACATTTTACTTGATCGCAAAGCCAAATTAACCAAATCTTGCAAGTGTAAAAGTACGGTTCCCCCGTTGTCACCTTTATAGCATGAGAAACGAGGGAGGGTCCTTCTTGGCTCTCTTTGGTCACCCATTAAAGGTCGTCTTTGACTTACAACTGTTTGTTTAGTGAGAGTTTGAACTTATAAAGGCACTGAAAAAAGGGATTTATGACTGATTTTCATTCACGGCCGTTTGCAGCATCCCCAGGGTCCCGTGATCAAAATTCGGACACTTGGAAACTGACTCATATTTATGACGATTGCTGTGTCCCAGGGTCACGTGATCCTCTTTTGTGATCCTCTAGTGAGCAAAGTCATTAGGGAAGCCAGATTCACTTCACAACCGTGTTACTAACTTAACAACCGCGTTGATTCGCTTCTCACGCTTAGCCTTAACAACTTATGCCCCAACCCAGCCCATTTGGGGCCATGACGCAACGGCTCTCCTTCTGCCCTCCCACCCATCTCAGCTCAGTCCCCAAAACCGGAAAGCTAACAGGTTGAATAGCAAAAGGGCTCTCCAAATTTAGGACTTGTGAACTCCCAGAATTCCCCAGCCAGCCAGCCAGCCCTCAAAGAGGATCTTTAAGCAATGGCTGCCTGCCGAATTTTGGGAGCTGAAATCCACAAGTCTTAACGATGGCAAGCTTGGAGACCCCTGGATTTGGCCACGCTTCTCTCTTCTTCCCCGAAGATGATTTGGGGTCGGGAACCCCCAAGCCTGCCGCCACTCACCCCCTCCTGCAAACGATCTCCAGAGCTTCGACGTTGCCATGGTATGCCACCAGCAGAGTGGGGGTCATGCCATCCGCATCGGCGATGTTGAGGTCCTTCCGAGTGGCTTCTTTGAGTAATTCCAGGTTGCCGTCTGCAGCTGCTCGGTGGAAACGGGTGGACATCTTCCTGGTTGGTTGGTGTCGGCCGTGGGAGGATGAGGAGGAGGCCCAACCTGCCTAGTCAGCCCCACGTTTCTCCCAAGGCTGTGGCTGCTTCCTCCCAGCAGACGGGACTCTTTTGATGACCTGGCAGATGACGAGGAAAGCAAAGGTTATTTATTCCCCGCGATTTATTTGCATAGGACATTTCATCCTCCAGAGAGCAGGCGGGTTGAAAAATCTTACAGCCTTGGCTGCTGTTTAAAAAAAAGAAAGAAAAATGAAGAGAAGTGCGCTTTTGAAGACTTTATTTATTTATTTCATCCATTTATACGGCCGCCCAATTCACACACAGGTGACTTACTAGGTGTATAACATCACCTGGGAGAGCCAGAAACGATGAGGCTCTGAGTTCTAGTCCCACTCTTGGGCAGGGAGATGGGGATGATTAAAGGGAAAAAAAATATTTTGTTTTTTTTGCCTGTCGGGGGTGGTTTGAGGATGCTGACTGGGGGATTCTGGGAGCTGAAGTCCACTTCTCTTAAAGTTGCCAAGTCTGAAAAACATTGCGCTAAGTTATAGGGGGGGGGGAATTTGCTATATTTTTTTCTTCACCTGGGAGAGCCAGAAACGAGGAGGCTCTGAGTTCTAGTCCCACTCTTGGGCAGGGAGATGGGGATGATTAAAGGGAAAAAAATATTATTTTTTGCCTGTCGGGGATGGTTTGAGGATGCTGGCTGGGGGATTCTGGGAGCTGAAGTCCACTTCTCTTAAAGTTGCCAAGTCTGAAAAACATTGCACTAAGTTATAGGGGGGGTGAGGGGGAATTTGCTATATTTTCTTCTTCTTTTCGTCTTTCATCACCGAGAAAAACCTGACCGGAGGATGCCAAATTTAGGACTGAAACCGAGAGATGAGAACACGCGACTTGCAAAGCCTTTAAGCCCCGCTCCAGGGAACGGCCTCGGTTGAAAGGCGCGATGCCAGGGACAGCCCGGTCCCCCCGCGCGGTTCCTCGTAAGGAGTAAGTCAGTTGGCTTTCTAGGACCCACCCGAGTCAGGGAAGTCGGTCTCCGTAGGATTTTCACAGCAACCCCCTCTGGCCCAGGCTCTACAGCCCGTGGGGATCGGGTTAGATCCGCGTTTGGGAAGCCCCGACTCTTGAGCGCGCAATTCGGAGGGGTTTCAACTGAAATGTGAACGGGTTGCAAGCATGCTTGAGGATCGGAGTTGCGCGCTCGCAAAGTAGTGGCAGATAAAGCAAACCTCGAGGAAGGAAGGAAGGAAGGAAGGGGAGAGAGAGAGAGAGAGAAAGACGAAAGAAAGAAAGAAAGAAAGAAAGAAAGAAAGANGAGGGAGAGAGAGAGAGAGAGAGAGAGAGAGAGAGAGAGAGAGAGAGAGAGAAAGAAAGAAAGAAAGAAAGAAAGAAAGAAAGACGCACCCACCCTTCCCCAGCCCAGTCCAGCCTTAAGAGCAGAACGTGAGAACATTGTGAGTTGGGACCGGCGTAGCGCATGCGCGTGGAAAGCCGGTGCAGGCTATAAAAAAACCTAATCGGGCGTCGAGGCTGCGACGTTAAACTTTCGCGGTTTGTTTTGCGCCGGGCGGATAGGATGGGGATGCCTGTGGGTTGGTCGTGTTACAATGCGTGGTAAACTTTTATTAATTCTCTTAGGCGTGGGAAGGGGCAGCCGGTGGTATGAATGCAGTCCAACTGAGTTTCTTTTCCCCTTTTCTTTCTGCTTTAGGCTCTTCTTCGGCTACTTTCTAGGCAGTATTTTTACCTCCGGAGCTCTCGATTTCCCAGGTAACGGGAGTTTTTTTGTGTGTTTGGGATGGGATATTCCTGGAAGTCTCTTGGTTTCCCTCTGAAAAGTGTTGGGAACAAACTGGGTTTGTCCCTAAAAAGCTCAGGGTCTTTACCATAGTCTGTTTTTCCTGGACAAGTGCTCAAAACAATGTGCCGAACCATCAATCCTGGCTTATAAACCCTGGCTAATCCCAAATTGAACAAGCTACCTGTGCTCTGGGTGCCTTGGGTGAAGCTAGGATGCTAAGCCATGATGTATTGCAATCCAACCAGGGTACAACAGAGATGGGATAAATTGTCAGCTTGTCTTAAATTCCCCCCCTATTGGTTTGGTATTAATGTAAGGATGCTTTCCAACTGCTGGGGTGGTTAAACCAGAGATTAGTGCTTAGCCTATGATTTAAATGCAATAGTTACGGTTTAGACAGCAACCTGTAATTCAATTAGCCATGGTTTAGTATGGTATCAATATAGCCCAGCATGTTCTCTCTGCTGTTTTCTTCTGAGCCCAATAATAAATAATATAGAGCAGAAATAGACAACAGAGGAGTAGATTTTATTTATTTATATCCTGCCCTTATTATGTTTAACAAATAACTTGAGCTGAAAATATCTAACGCGCCTTCCTCCTCCTCTTTCCCCCAAAACAACAGCCCTGTGGGGTAGGTTGAGCTCAAAGTCACCCAATTGACTTTCATCCCTAAGGTGAGACTCATGGTGGTCTGGTTATTGGCTCAAACTCACCCAGTTGGTTTTCATGGCTAAGGCGGGACTAGAACTCGCAGCCTCCTGCCCTCACCACCAGGCTAAAGTGGCGTAGTATAGGGTTTCCTGCTTGAGCAGTGGGTTGGACTAGAAGACCTCCAAGGCACCTTCCAACTCTGTTATTCTGGTAATAGAATAACAACAGAATAAAGGCTTTTGATAATATAGATCAGGGGTCTTCAAACTTGGCCCTTTTATGCCTTGTGGACTTCAACTCCCAGAATTCCTCAGCCAGGCAAGCTGGCTGAGGAATTCTGGGAGTTGAAGTCCACAAGTCATAAAAGGGCCAAGTTTGAAGACCCCTGATATAGATAATATAGAACAGAAATTAGCCATGGCTTAATGTGAGGTCAATCCAGCCCATGAAGTTCTCCTTGCCCTCTTCCTCTGAACCCTTAAAATATGAGCACCAATGGTATGTCCTGGTATCTCCAGGTGGGTCTGTTCTTCAAGCCAAACACCACTAGTTAATATATAGAGCAGAAATAGAGATAATTCGAGATTGACGGTTTGGGTTGGAGAACTTTGATCAAGGTAGGCTTCATGCTTCATTACCTGCTGAGCAACATCTTCAAGACTTTGATCTTGAGAAAGGGAAGTCTGTTAGCTAGTTACAGGAGAGTCTTCTCCAGCTGGTGTGACTTGACATGGCTGGCTGGCTGGGGAATTGTGGGAGCTGAAGTCCACCAGTTTTAAGACTGCGAAGGTTGGACTTCCTGGCCTAATGGATAAATGTGTCCCGGGGAGAACGTGCTGTAGGTAAAGCTCAAACTCTGTGGTCCTACCTCCATCCATTTTCCGGAGAAGGCAGTTCAAGAAAAGGTGGGCATCTATTTTGTGACAGGTACGGTGTCTTGCCAGGATGACCCGTGGCGAATTTGGCTGCCAAAGGAAGTTGCCAACTCGAGCTCCTGGGACATAGACATTCTCGGTACGTTTGAGGATGCTTCTTCAGCTATTTTGTCTCTTTTTGAGTATGAATTGATGCTTTTAGGAATGGGTCGTGTCTAACCCTTTGGCTGGTTTTTCTATAGATGGCAGCGGGGATGATATGGAAGACTGTCGTTATCAAATTGACTACGGAAAGCAAGTGTTGATGGTTGGGCACCAGAACTGTACTGAAATGGAGGTAGTCCTCACTTTATAACAGTTCATTTAGTGACCGTTCGAAATTACAACAGTGCTGAAAACAGTGCTTCTGACCGTTTTTCACACAAACGTTGCAACATCCCCAGGGTCATGTGATTAAAATTCAGACACTTGACAACTGACTCATAGTTACGACGGTCGCAGTGTCCCGGAGTCACGTGATTCTCTTTTGTAACCTTATGAGCAGCAAAATCGGAAGATTTACTTAACCACCGGGTGGCTAACTTAACCACTGCAGTGATTCCACTAACGACTGTGGTGAGAAAGGTCGTAAAATGGGACAAAACTCGCTTGTCTCACTTTACAGCCAAAATTTTGGCCTCGACTGTGGTTGTAAGTCGAGGACAACCTGTCAGATGGATATACTGGCTGGCTGGGGAATCCTGGGAGCTGAAGTCCCCACATCCTAATAATAATAATAATAATAATAAAGTTGGAAGGGGCCTTGGAGGTCATCTAGTCCAACCCCCTGCTCAGGCAGGAAACCCTATACCATTTCAGACAAATGGCTGTCCAGTCTCTTCTTAAAAACTTCCAGTGTTGGAGCATTCACCGCTTCTGGAGGCAGGTTGTTCCACTGGTTAATTGTTCTCACTGTCAGGAAGTTTCTCCTTAGTTCTAGGTTGCTTCTCTTCTTGATTAGTTTCCATCCGTTGCTTCTTGTCCTGCCAAGTTTGAAAAAACACTGCTCTAAAGCAGAGGTCTCCAAACGGGGCAACTTTAAGACTTGTGGACTTCAACTCCCAGAATTCCCCAGCCAGCATGGGGAGCTGAATGGTGTTGAGTCTTAAAATCGCCAAATTTGGAGAGCCCTGGTCTAAAGGATAAAGGGGTTGAACTGATCAAGGAGTGAACCAACTTAGAACTAAGCAGAATTTTTTTGACAATTAAAACCATTAACCAGTGGAACGACTTACCTCCAGAAGTTGTGGGTGCTCCATCGCTGGAGGTTTTCAAGAAGAGACTGGACAGCCACTTGTCCGAAACGGTGTAGGGTCTCCCGCATGAGCAGGGGGTTGGACTAGAAGACCTCCAAGGTCCCTTCCGACTCTGTTATTCTGTTAAAAGGCAGAATAGGTTTTTTAAAAAAAAGGAAAAAAAAAAGGGCTGATTTTCAGAGCTCAGCCAAAACCAAACAAACTAAAACGATGGTGTAACTTTGTGGACCGGCCCAAATGCAAAAACATAAATGTGTTGGGCTTGCGTGACTTGCTAACTCTTCCAGTAAAAGAGAGGATCTGCTGGTGAAATTGCTCTTGGGGAATTCACAGCTTCCTCTGAAGGCAATCTCTCTGCCTTT